CGGTGGTTAATTTTCATTTCGTATTCAGGACCACAATCTCAAGACTCTCCGAACTTGTTTAAGCTTCCCGCGAACTTGTTTAAGGTTTCCCGCGCGACCACTCGAAACTCTCTTTATGATCTGTTTTTGGTAGATGATGACAAAAGTCAATCGGTCCCCCCCCCGGTGGTTAATTTTCATTTCGTATTCAGGACCACAATATCAAGACTCTGCGAACTTGTTAAAGCTTCCCGCAAACTTGTTTAAGGTTTCCCGCGCGACCACTCGAAACTCTCTATATGATCTGTTTTTGGTAGGTAATGACAAAAGTCAATTGCTCCTCTCGGTGGTTGAAACCGTCAAGATTAACAGAACATGGCTCACCGTTTCTCCGAACTTGTTTAAGGTTTCCCGCGCGACCACTCTCGAGGTTGTTTAAGCTCCCCGCATGTGGATAAAAAGTTATAAGCTTACGCTTCACGCGACCAAAGGCTTGTTAGATAAAACAGATTTCCCGATGGACCACAATTTCAAGACATCATGCAAGATGAAGATCTCTCAGAAATCAACCAGAACCGGATGGGGTCAACAGCACCGAAACATCCACAACGGAGCATCGTTGGAGAGGGAATGATTTCTTTCATCCCAACCTTCCTCTCACAAAACCAAAAAGCGAAGCTTTCAAAAAGCAATACGCAAAACATCAATCCCCTGTTCCAATATGAACTTCTCCAAAATCGCCGTCGCTGCCCTCGGCTTCAACTTTTCACCTTGGTTCGTTCAAGGACAGTACCCGGTAGGCCCGTATGAGCTCCATCCAATCGGTGACGATACCGTGAGTATTGGGTCAGATGATTCCAACAGATATGCTTTGATTTTTGTCCATCAGAATGACGATTCTGATGCTCCACCCCAGTTGGAAGTTAGACTCCACTTCGAAGGAGACTTTGATCGTGCACAACCAATAATTGAGGTGTTTTCAGGAGTCGAAGACGGCGACGCATGCGACACGGGTGACACCGCTGAGATCGATGACGACTTCGCTTTTGTTCGGGAGGGTCCATTGCTTGCATCGCAGGTTACAAGTGATGGGGCGATAGGTACGTTAAGCCAGTAGCGACAACGATGGGTGGATGCCACGAAAGTAATCCTCATCATACTCTTCCTTTGTGCTTCCATTGTACTGCTGTTCTTAGGTCAAATAAAGGCGAATATGGACCTTTATGATAGTTCTTTATGGACACCGGTCGATGGTAACAATCCGGAGGTTGCTGGTACTTTTAAGGCATGTGCTCGGGTTTCCATGAAGCACGATGGCGCTTATGTCTCTTTTGTTGATACAACAGTTTTGGTGCACCTTGATGCGGAAGGAAGGTTCCAGACGTTTGAGAATGACATTACGGTTGTGGGCACCAGCACGAAATCATTGGAAGGTTCTCAAACAACGGAAATCGGTCTGAACTCCTTTCTGTGTGGTCGATCTGATTCAGGAAACCCAGACCGCTCCTTCAAGATTGGTCAGAGCTTCTCCATCTGCGTTGTTCCTGGTGATGATGCAGTTGCTCAATATGACCATATTCAGGTGGTTGGATTCCGAAATGTGCAGTGTGGACCAGCCAATGTGGTGGTAGAAGGAACGCCGACGTCACTGTCATCCGTTGCCACTGAGACTACTTTCCCCTACAAGGATGCCGATGGAAATGAAGTAGGAGGGGATGCTACGTCTTTTGAAACCGTAGTGACTCCCGATTATTATCCCGAAGGTGGTTCGGGGGAAGAAACGGTCGCGTGCTCAGGCACGGCGGAGCTGAGCTTTGAGGCACCAAGGTTTGAGAAGACAGGATGCGTAACAATCGACGACTGGGAAAATACCCAAATTGCTTATCCAGATCTTCGTGGCGGGACTGAAGACGAAGTGAAAGTTTGCAATGATATTTGCAGAGATCGCGGTTTCGACCACTTCATGCCGTGGTGCCCCTTCGATGATCCCGACCATGGTGTTCGTTATAAATGTATTTGCACCAATGAAGGAGGCGCACAAACAGGTGGAAGATGCTCTGGGTCGATAAATGATGCATCTCAATGTACTCTCGATTTTGTCTCAAGAAGTGATTATGAATTCGGTCTCGATCGTACCTTGGAGATGCCGGTCTACCGCGTGAATCCACCAATGTTTACGAAGGCGGGATGCATAGGGTTTCCCTCTAGTCCGGGTGCTAGTGCTTATTTAAGTGTTTTTAGAGGTGGGACCGAAGATGAGGTGCAACGATGCCATGATCATTGCCTTGAACAAAATACGAGGTACTTCGTTCTGGGTTGCCCCTACGATGAGGGACGCACGTATCAATGTTTTTGCTCCAATGGTGATGGTGGAGTGGGGGAAGATGGTGAGTTCACGGAGAGCACAAGCACCGAAACATGCAATGGTTCAGTTGACAACTTTTGGGAGTGTGATATCAGTTTTGTCAGCGGCAGTGAGTATGAATTCGGTCTCGGAAACCAAGCTTTGAAGTGGCCGGCCTACGAAGTGAACGCACCCGGACGCCGTTTGACCACGAAATTCTCAATCAACAGCGGGGATCTCTTGCAACGCGACCTCCAGGAAAGCAGCAGCAGCTCCTTTGGCACCGAGGTTCGTCTATCGCGAGACAACACGGATGCTATCGACGATCTCGAGGCTCCTGCAGCAAGAACCGCGATGGCAAGCGCCGCCGGCGCCCTTGTTGTTGCCGCTGCGGCCCTGGCTTGAGCAGACAACAAGCATGAAGAGACAGCGATATTACACAGAAAAAATGACATATTCCAATTACCAACCAATACATGTTCAGGAGCCAAAAGATACACGGCTGCGCTGCCCGGCCCGCCCATTGAGGCGTAAAATAAAAGCAAAGAAAAACAAAAAAATGCTATCCAGCCGCCCCTTGTGGCGTGAAACAAAACAAAAGAAACACAAAAAAAAACAGTTGCATGTTTACATGACGAACTAAGCGCAAGCGCAAGTTGAAACAGTAATTAGTAGAAGTTTGTTATGAAGTGAAAAGGCGAGCAGTGATTATTATAGTTAGGTAGGAGTGCCCGGTTATATGAGTACGAGTACGTACGGTACTCAAAACTACACCTTGTGTCAATCAAATTTTGTCGGAACAGTAGCGTTGACGTAGCCAGCTTTGTGTTGATGGATCATGATATGTAACGTACTGTACGCGCCGTAGGTGTGAGTACTAAAAGTAACACCCCATCCTCTGATTTTGGTGGCACATGCTGTCCCTACCGGTATCAAAAAAGAATATCCTCGGCGGCGTCGCAAGCAGTTAAAAAGTACTCGTACTTCGACAGTAAAGTATTACCGTACTGTACCAGGTACGGTGACGTACTGAAACTTCCTGAAGACCACCGCTGGTACTGTACCGTACAGCTTTCGATTTACTAGGGAGTGTATCTAGTACGATCGTACCGACACTTACTTATGGGTAATACGTAATACGCAACTCCCAGAAGCAGACCAATTTCTGTTGTTTGGATGGGCGTCGGGGAAAACTTGCAGGAATGCAATGGGGCCTGCAGAGCAGTCCTACCCTACGACCTTGGAAGTATCGTACGGTACATGTAACTCTGTGCGTACGAGTAAAGTACGTACCGTACCGTACCATACCGTACGAGTACGTACCGTAGGAGAGGCAACCAACACCAAGACATCACCGGCCTCAGACACAAGAGACAACGCCCCGGCCATGGTTTCGGGTGACGACAACGATGCCGGCAGCGCTGTGCAGTGGAGAACACGCCAAAGGCCAGCGACGGTTGCCCTCCATCGCACACGCACGGTGTCGGTGCTCTTGGCACTGCAGCTCTTGGTGCTAGGACGAGGAACCAGCGGATGCCACGCGTTTGCGGTCTGTCGCCCTAGATCGCTTCCGGCCGCGGAAGACCAACGGAGTGCCTGCTTCCTGGCAGCGTCGTCCCCCTCCTCCTCCTCCGTGGTCTCTTCGCTGGACGACAAGGAAAGCGACGGGGAGGAAAGCGTTCGCTACCGGTTCATGTACATGACGGAAGAAGAAGACCGCCTCCTCAAAGAAAAAGGAGATCTCGAGGAAAGCCTGATGCGGCGACCGACCCCGCTCAAGGCCATGAAACTGACCGGACTGGCCAGGTCTGCGTCGGCCAGCGTCGGTGGCGGTGGCATGGGCATGGGCGGCGGGGGCTTTGGAGGAGGATTTAGTGGAAGCAAGAAAGGCGGCAAGGCAAAGAAGAAGAAGAACAAGAACAAGAAGCAACCACCGAACGAACCACCGAACGAACCACCACCGGCGGAGACCGTCTCCCCTGCCGTCCGCGCTCTGGCGAGGGCCATCCGGGAAGACGGGCTGGTCCGGATCGACAACGTTCTGAGCGCCCAAAAGGCTGACGACCTCCGTGACTATCTAATCGACCTGCGGAAACGCGCCCGGGAGGACGTCGAGTCCGGGGCCATCGCGGACAGCCAGGAACGCTTCGCCGACGTCCTCCTGAACCAGAACCGGTGCGACCTCAAGATTCCGCTAGGCCCGAAACCCGTGCACGAGGCGCTCCTGGATCTGCTCAACGACGAGAGCGACACGGCCAAAGCGAGCGAAAGCCACGGGTCGACCCCTACACCGTCGCTGGTCCGGAGCGTCATCGAGGGCGTCTTTGACCACTACAACGGCAACAAGGTCTACAAGGGGTCCGAGGCGTCCCTGTGGGAGCTCAATTGCTTCATGAGCAACTCGGGTGCCCGCCGGCAGCTGGTCCACGCCGATTGCGTGTGTCTGGAGGCCGTGCCGGGGCTGAAGCACACCGATTCGAACGAGGAGGGAGAGGACGCCGGGGAACCGATCCTGCTGACCTGCTTCGTGGCCCTCCAGGACATCGACCCCTCGATGGGGCCGACGGTCTTCATGCCGGGGACCCACAACATTCGGTCGCACAACGTGTTTTTCGAAACGGGACGGGACGGGGCCTCGTCCCCGTCGGCCGACGGTGCCTCCCCCAAGAACGGTCTCCTGTCGTCGAGGAAATCGGTGTCCGGGGCACCCCTGCCCAGGGGGTCCTGCATCCTCTTCGATCCCCGCGTGCTGCACTGCGCGGGCGCCAACGACTGTCCCGATCCCGAGAAGACCCGGGCCCTCTTCTACGTGACCTTCAAGAATCCAAAGGTCGACAGCCCCGGCTGCCCCTCCACCAGCGGGTACGGGATCTCGACCGCGGAGCTCACGATGGGCGAGCTCGTCTCGGACCTGCTGGCCATGGAACGGGGCGGCGACCGCGAGGCGAGGCGCGTGCCCCAGCTGGCGTCCTCTCCGTGATCCAGCCGAACCCCCACCGCAATCCCCCCCCCCAGCCGAAGCGAAAGCGACCAGGGGTCTTCGGCACGAAGGCAACGCGGTGCGGAGCTCGGCTCTCGGGATCGCTGGCAAGAGACTCGGGATCGCCCACGAGACACTGCGACACGACACGACACGACACGACGCATGGCAATCGAATGCGATGCGATGCGATGCGACACAGACACACACACACTAGAGGAACAAGACTAAACGTATCCAGCTAAGCGATTCGTTACAAACAGAATTCCAACCCCACCGTCCGTTTCACCGGCACTAAAGAAAAACCCCGTTTGTTTCGTCTCGTCTCGTCTCGTCCTTCGGGCAGTTCTGTTCGTTCCGCCCCGCATCGAAACCTCACCGCGCCGCCGATCGACAGGGCCGGTAGTCCATCGCCCCCCGCGCGGCCTCGTCCGGACCGGGCAGGGGCCGGTCGCCCGGCTGCTTCATCCCGAGCTTGTCCGCGTACGAGACCCGGGCCTCGTCGCTCCCGGCCCGTTCGGTATCCCCGGCGCTGCCGGCCTCCCAGAAGAGCGACGGGTAGCACCTCGCGACCTCCACGTCGTCCCTCATGTGCTGTTGGGTCTTCGTCCCCACGAGGCAGGTCTGCGAGCCCATCGACATGACAAAGCCCAGCATCAGCTGCGCCGGGGTCACCCCCCTGGCCTCGGCCTCGTCCTTGCTCCTTCGGCCGCCGCGGCTGCTCCCGTTGAGGAGCCAGAAGCGCTGGACCTGTGTGTTGTGCCTGCGAAAGACCTCCTGCATGTTCACGTCGTACTGGCGGTTGGAGTGGAATCGGTTCTGGACGATCTCCGGCTTGATCCTCGACTGGTTCCAAAAGGTTTCGAACCACTCCGGGTCGTGGACGCTCGTCATTCCCAGGTGTTTGACGGTGCCCTCGTCGACGAGCTCCTCGAAGACCTTCCAGGCCCTGCGGATCTCGTCGTCGGCCCACCGCTTGGCCTTGTTGTTGTGGAAGACCAGCGCGTCGAGGTAGTCCGTCTGGAGGTTCTTCAGGCTGATCGAGACCGACAGCCGGACCTGCTCCTCGATGGATTCCGGGGCCTGCTCCGGATCGAGGGGATCGGGGGCGAAATCGGCCCTGTTTCCAAAGGGGACGAAGCACGTCTGGAGAAAGAGCTCGCTCCGGCCCAGTCCCGAGGCCTTCCAGCCGTGGCCGACCCCCGTTTCGTTGTGCGACGAGTGGTGTCCGCCCGTGACGATGTGCCGGAAGCCCTCCGAAATGGCCGTGGCGACGAGCTCCCCCGTGCGTTCCTTTAGGCTCTTGGTCCCGTAGGCGAGCGGGGTTCGGAAGGAAACCGGCGACACTTCCGGCGATCCGCCTCGGGCGGGACTGGCAGAGGCATCCTTCGTGCTCGTGTCCGCGTTGTACTTGTACTTGTAGTAGGAGTCCCCGTCCCCCCCGAAGGCGAGCTTGCACACGAGGACCACCGCGAGCGCGGCCACGGCGAGGTGCCTGGCCGGTGGAAGACGGTGTCCGGCTTTCCGTCTCGCAACTCTCACCATGGTGGGGTGGGGTGGAGTGGAGTGGAGAGGGGAACGGATCTCGTGCGGTATCGATCGAAACACCCGGCGTCGATCGACTCTCTGAGATCGTTGTGTTGGGAGATCGAAACAATGCCTCTTTCGGTAAGGTAATTGTACTGGACGCCACGCCACCGTACCGTACGTACCGTTATTACTGTACCGTACGAGGTACCTTACCGGACGGTACTGCAGATGAAAAACCAGATCGGTGGGATACTTCTTTAGTCCCAGAATATGAGTCGCACGGTTGCCTCTTCGGTTCAAGGAGCCTAAATGACTGGGCCCTCCGTTGGTTTTCAAGGAAGACAGTCGCAATCCGGTACGATACTAACACAATGCATCGGTCTTTCTCCCATCAAAATTGCCACGACCCCATGGAATATACTTCTAGTTGTTTTCTTAAAATGTTCTAATACGTTGATTAACACTTGTTGTAGAACCACTGGTTTGGACTCTCGACACCGCCGAGAGCCATTCGGTTATAGCGCACTTGACGGAAGGTTCCTTCGTGGCAACCGCGTTTCGGATGGATGCACGCACGAACGGATCCCATCCCCCCGGTTCCCCTTCCTTCTCTCTTAGCACGCTAGCAGCACAAATGCCGCCACCGCGAGGGCCGGGCCGAGAGACCCTGCAAGGACTGCGGCGCCGCTCTCCAGGGAGCTCGCCACGGACTCGGTGGGCACGCGATCGTTTGCATCCGGTGCTGTGGCGCTCCGGTCCACGCTCGTTTCCCCGGACTCCGGTGCTGCGGCGCTCTGGTCCACGCTCGTTTCCCCGGACCCGCAGCCCGCCAAGATGTTGCCGGCCTCGCCATAGTAGACGGCCTCGCAGCTCCCGTTGCACGTGTCCGTGATGCACGAGACGGCCCCCGGGCAGGCCGTGGCAGGGTCGGCGGCACAGGGATTCGCATCGCACCGCCCCGGACGGCCCCTCAAACATTCCTGGCCGCAGATGCGGTCGCAGGTCCCTACATCGCACGACAGGTAGCCAAGGCATTTCTTGTCCTGGTACAAGCGATTGGCGGGGTTGGAGCAATCGGAATCCGTCGCACAGCTCCCCATCTGCCGGCAGGTGCCGTCGGCGCAATAGTACTCGAACTCCGGTGTTTCGTCGGGCGCAAAGAGGCCCGTGCGTTCTCTTGGGGCGAGGGAGAGGCAGTCCTCGTCGCGGGTGCAGAAAGCCGCGGGAGCTTCGACGGCAGAGGCGTTTCCGGCGCTGGCAGAGTCAAAGTCGCCACAAACCTTGCCGCACATGTTGCTCTCGCAGGTCAGGGTGCCAACGCACTCGATCATCGCGTAGGTGTTGTTCAGGTTGCTGCAATCGTCTACAACGTTGCACGATCCATTCTCCATGCAGATCCCCTCGGTTGAACAGTAGTCGTCGTCCCCGAGGCAATCCTCGGAGGTATCGCACCCCATTATGGCATCACTCCCGCCGTCGCAATCCATCTCGCACTTCTTCTCGGAGGTGCACTCCATGTTTCCAAAGCAGAGCGCTACTCCAAACCCGACGTTGTTTTGGTGGAAGCAGTCGTCCGCAATGGCACAGGACCCAATTTTGGTGCAGATGCCCTCGGAGGAGCAGTAGGCTCGTTCCCCGCAGACGCTCGGGTCCGTGCTGTTCGCGTCGCAGGCCATCCTGTCGTCGCCCATGTCTCCGCATTTCATGCCACACATGCCTTCCCGGCACTCCATGGTCCCCACGCACATGACCAAGGCAAAGGGCTGGTTGGTGGGATCGCTGCAATCCGAAACCTCGGCGCAGGCTCCGACGGAGAGGCACGTTCCGGAGGAGGCGCAGTACGAGTCCTCGCTTTCGCAATCATTGCTGGTGGTACAGGTTTCCTCGGCGCTCACAAAACCGAGTATGGTGGTCCCCCACAATAGCAGCAGAAGTGTGGGGATGGCATAGCTGGTAAGGGCAATCTTCATCGTGTGATGTTTTGCTTGTTCTTGTTTTGTTTTGTATTTTTCTGCTTTGTTCTCTTCGTTTCCTTGTTCGAATCGGTTCTCCGCACGAGTGTTTGTGGTGCGTAGGGTTTTATTGTTTTAGCGTTTGGTTATGTGATCTGGTCTAATGTTTTCTGCTTTTTTTTTGCGGTGCTTTGATTTTATGTTGCTTTGGATTGGTGATTTGAATCGCTGCATTTGTAATCGATTTAAAGCACGATTACAGTAATACCGGTACGAGTTCTTGCATGCGCTAATCTGTTTCAAGCATTTTTTCGATTACTTCACCGCTGGTACATCCCTTTACCAGTCTTACGTTACACAATGCTACCGGTATGTGAAAAAGATCTTGCGAAATTTTGAACTGGCGGAATACCGTATCATGACCGTTATCTGGACAGTTACGACTTTTGCTTCTACTTCCATGTTTGTTGCTGGCGAACACATGAAACCAGGAACGGAAGTCAATAAGGCTTAATTATTACAGCGGTATATCGTGACACAGTGACAACGACTTATTCGTGGAATCCTTCGCTTCTTTCGGTTAGGAAAACACATGAAAAAGGTGCGATGTTGCGAGTTTTGAATCACGGGGACACATACAAAACATGCATGGGGAACAACAATGATGGATCGCTCTTGATCGGTTGCACATTGTCTCTTGGTGTGTCCTCCAATCCTTCAGTGGGTGGCATCGATTTATTAGTTTTGTTTCAACAATGCATGGCCACCCCCCTGATGTTTTTCAGTTTAAGTTATTACTAAAACTAGTACTACTACTAGCTATTAATACAGCAGCATTGCTGGTAATAGTACAGCATCAATTTCTTATTATTTCTGGTGTAATGATGTTGGTCATGATATATTCAGGTGGTGCTTGTTCTTCTTGAGAACAGCACCAGTTTACTAGTACACAGGGTGAAATTTTTATCCACTGTGGAGTCCAGCACCAGGTTGAACTCTCAGCAGTCTCTCTCTCTCTCTCTTACACACCCTCTATCTCTCCCTGTATCTCTCCTCTCCTCTCTCTGCTCTCTCCTTTAGTGTTGAGCCTTTCTAGTAATTCCCTTTCTTCCACCAAGTTGCTTCCTTCTGCATTCTTGCAGCTGATTTTCAACATCTTTTGATTCTTGTTGTTCTTCACAAATATCTCTGTACAATGTTCTTCCCTCAATACTCCACCCCTACTTTCTCCCAGAAGCATGACTGTTGGTAAACCTTTTTTTTTCTCTGTTTTTTTTTGGTGTCATTGGGTTGAATCCACAAGTCCCATCCATTGAACAAGAGAACAAATACAAAAACCTTTTTGCTCACACTACAGAACTCCTCACTCAACTTGTTTCTGTCTATCTTTTGGACCAATGGCTCCTCCTATAATCTGCTTGACAAGAAACCACTAATGTAAGATGGGGCTACTTTCCCTACTGTAACCTTCATGCAGAATCAAAAATGTCTTTTCTTGTGTAATAAATTTTAATTTCTTGCCTCGACATACAGATCTTTGACCCAACATGGTAGCAGCATCGTTCTCTTGAGGTTTTTGTCCCCTGTTGTCATCATCAGCCAGAGACATTACTACCTCCTGCTGTCTGTCACCTTCAAGCAGATTGGAAGCAAAAGGCAGCAGCACTTGCTGCCTAACATTATGTGTGCTTACCTTAGTAATACTACTATTCATGAAAGTAGTAGTAGCAACAATACTACTACTACAATCATTCTCTTCTCATTCCTGACAGGTTCTGGGCTGCTACTATTAGTAGTAGTAGCTAGCTACTAGTACCACTGATCTTATTAGTAGTACCTATCTTCTTTTTGCTGTTGAGGCCTTCATGTGTCCTCCTCCTGGCTCTCTTCTGCCTTGCTTTTGCTTAATTACTACTACTACTATACAAAACAAATTTTCCCTGCTGCTGATGTTCTGTCCTCCTCCTTCTTGTTGAGGAGGATGGTGGCCATAATGACAAGTAAAATTGGAAGATTTTTTCTCTAGTAATACTAACACCCCCCTCACCCCCACCAGTAGCAATGGATCATATCCTGCAGAGCTCTAGAAGTCCCACTAGTAGTGATCATCAAAGAAAATAATTTTCTCGTTGCTTTCTTTCCTCTTATTGTCCTTCTGCTTTCCTGGCTCTGTCAACAACAAGATTTCCAAGCAAGATCTTTTTAGTATGCACTACATGATCTTGTTCCTGGTGCTGGTCATGCTTGCTGGTGTTGTTAGTACTAAAACTTACCACCAGCACCTCCTCCTTCTTCTTGCTACTTTGACAGTGTCTTGCCAACTGGTTCAAACTCTTCATCAAGTAGATATGTGTTGCTTGTTACTACTTCCTTCATGAAGAACCATTTCTCACCAACATGTACCTTGTCATACTACATTGGATCAAAGACACCATTGTGATCAATACGAGACAGAGTAAATCAAATCCTTTCCATTTTGTTTGCTTCTTTTAGGAAAGGCTTCAAAGTGCAGCTGCTGTATCTCTTGATTGCTCMACGTTTAACAAGACAGTGCAGGCTGGTGACTGGACTATTGATTGCTGCTGATAAGGTCCTTAGATATCCTCTTTGTTTGTATGGAATGTCCCTTATTCCTTCAAGATCAGAGGTAGGCCTAGCCTTCCTACCACACTTGGACCTGTTGTTTGAAAACCTGCAGGGCATGTTTCATCATCCTGAGTTTCTAAATAGCGCTTCCAAATTCTTGCATAAGTTCTAGGGGAAACTTTGAATAGCTATAAAGAGTGAATTAGCTATAAATCAATTGCCATAAACACAAGTGCTTACCACTACAATAGCTCTGTTTAATGCAAAAATAAGCATTCCAATTGCCCAAAAATTGAGCTTATTCCAACCCAAGAGGTGCATATGTAAGAATCACGTGCAATAAGCAGTTAGTGTAGTGTTGATGTAACAGGTGAATACTCTGTAATATACACTCGGAACTTAGCTAAGATAGTAATCATCATGGTATGAGGGCATGATAGGGTGTTTTAAATGTTAAAGAAAAGAATAAGTGTGATCAAGCAAACAGGTTGCTGTTTGCTGCATTTTCGATCGGCGATCGGTTCGGCGATAAGATCGGTACATTYGGSGATTCGTGAATCCAAAGATATGATTCAACCTAAGATTAACCTTAACCCTAATCGTTGAATCGTACGAATCTAAGATTCGATCTTGGGATACGGTTTAACTCTAACCTTAATCGTGATACTCGTACGATTCATTCATTCGTATCGTACGAGTGATTCAACTCAATCCACGAGTGATTTTCACAGTCCCCGTAAGATCTATTCAGTTTAGTGAAATAAGATCAAACGAATCGAACTTACAAAATCAATCAAGTGAGTCAA